AGCGCGTTTCTTCCCCACCGCAAGCACCTGCGGTCCGGAGTTTTACAAATATCTCAGCATTATAATAGTTATATTTCGGAAAATACCCTGCCGTTAAAAAGAATAGGCAGTGAATAAAATGGTTAAGATTGTGATTATAACTAATTCATAGTTGTCACCTTTGAGAACGCAAGAAGTAAAATAAACGCAGAATTCAGGTCTCTTGGTATTCAGATAGGAAAAATCATTAATTATGTAGGTCATCGAAACTTCAATAAATAGGAGTAACACTAAGAAACACAACTTCTGACTAAAGTATACATCTGACACGGAAAAACGAAAAAGTGACTACGTTTCCCCGTGAACAGAGTTACAGTGGCAAAACAACCAAAGAGTGAACATTTTTCAGGTTTCTTTATGGAGAAGCATTAGTACCCCATCCACATTATATCAGTGGAAGCTCAAATAAGGAATAAAAGACAAAGAATTTAAGATATAATCAGTGCATACGAGAATGCGGATGGCCTAACCGACACAGGCCATGACTTGATATTGCACCGGGCCCATCAAGCCTCTAACCCCTCGTAAGGTTCGAAAAACCAATACCAGGGACAAATTCATTCGCTCCAATCCAAATAGGAATGCTCTAGCACAGCAACTCAAGATTCCAATGAGAATTGACGCCGTTAGAATTCCTGTCTGTAAAGATAGAAGCACTGATTCGATACAACGGTAGGCCTCTGCGAGTCATCGTAACGGCTAAATATGTATTCAACTATCTCCATCGATGTTTAAAGAAGTAGTATGCATGGCGCATCCCTCAGAGATTGATCAACGCCGACAGGTTTTCAGCTTTTTACAATACAATCCAAAAGACCAGAACTTGCGAATTGCCACTGAGTTACAAATGAGACGTAATAACACAAACAAATAGTCTAATGAACTCTAGATTTGTCAAATTTACCCAGGAAACTCGCTTATCTCGTATTTACTTGCAATATAATTATTACAGGCCAGTACCTAATTAAGGTGAATACTTTGTAAAACTTTTCCCAAAGACTAAAGGCAGATGAACTCTTAATTAAGAGTTTCACGCTTTTGAAGACTCTAGGAATCGAAACGTCAACGCCGACAATACGTTGGCCGCTGGCCAACGAATCTCCGGAACGTACCTGCTCTTGCTGAGGGTTGAGACGAGCGCTACGACGTCTTCCCAGGCGAAGTTCGTTCTCCTCTGACGAGTCGTCCCGTCTCGAAATGCTCTGCTGCTTGAGCTCCCGTGTGAGCCGCAGCATCTCTGAAGTCGCCGACGTGTGCGCAGCCTCCGTCGGCCCCCACCGATACCCGTATGTGGAAGAGGATTGCTCAGTTCGCTCACCGTTGTTGGCAACGCATTCACTCTTCGATCCACATCTAAACATAACGAATTCAACTAGAGAAGAGAAAGTTCCAGACGTTTAGGTTGATCGGTAGTGCCTTTGGAACCAACTACGCGTGTTTCTGCGATAAGTTGCAACCAAACGTTTAGTCATTTCGAACAGAAATGAACACGACAGGTAAGAGAACCGCTTGCTCATCGGAAAACACCTTCATAAAACAGAGAAGACTCTAGATGTTGTCAATCTTCTAAAGGAATGTAATCTACCAAATTTGAGTCGAATATAATGCTGCCCTAAACCCGACTCGGATCGTATATGGACGGTACGGACGCATGATCCGAAATGTGGCGGTACATTTGAGGTGAAAATGTCCAAAGGATTCCAGAATGGGAAACGATTTGAAGGCATGGAATCCCCTCTAAAATCACAAGGATCAAAGTACTTTTCAGGACCGGGATGCAAAGTACAGAGTAACCCTAGTGAACTGTTGTTGAGCACTTGGGTGTTCACGAATTGGCCTTACTCCACCCGATTTTTCACCAATGAAACAATCAGAACCGGAATGAATTTCGCCCCGATATTTCACAATAATTGTTGGCCTATTGATTCGGGAGGCGCTTCACGCTCCTATTGAAGGCCCTACGAGTGCAAACGCACATAAACACACGCAGATAAAAGTCGCAACTTCGCTTTTGACGAGGACCAAAGGGAATTCGCATGAGGAGCGCTGGGATACAACTAAGCGTAGTTCACAAGAAACTCGCTGCTTTGGATTCGTCTGAACATCACAGCAAAACTACTCGTGCAAAAATGGCGGACATAAGGCCATGAAGATAAGATAGAAGCACAAATGCTAATGTTCTTGATATCCACGTCACCAGATGAAAGAATACACCGACCGTCCAGGATGACATATGGATGCGAGTGCAGCAGCAACAGAGCGGGCCAGGCCGGCCCTCTCTGTGTCTCTGACCTCGCCCCCCGACTGGCCAACTCTCAACACCTGCGCTCTCGTCTCCAAGGGACCCCTATCGTTGTACCGAACGAAATGTAGGTTACTATAGGGACCTCCCTATAACTGTAAACCCTGGAGTCTTAATAGTACGCGTAGTTAACAATGGCAGTCTAGTGTTAACTAGTAACAGAGGTCGTTATCTGGGTTCTGGAGATGTCATATCGCCATCCCACTCATTCACATTGTAATTTAATCATTAAGTGAGTTTGTATTTCTACCTTCACACTCTGTTTTTGCTATTACTCATCTTGTGAGCTTTTTTCTCCTGAAAATCGCCGACGAACTCTATAAGTGGTAAAGCTCTCGGTGTTGATTAATCGCTGACGGATGCCCATGCCTTCGACATCCATCGTTAAAGGTGATTCATTCAGTGATGCTATCCTCTCGGACAAGTCTGGTAAATTGTCGGACCTCAGAGAGATGGATGATTTTGTGGACCCTGGGTCAGAAACAGACCACTTTTGTTTCGCGGGACGCTTCTAGCCACTGCGCTACACTCGTGTAATACGTCATACATTGGTCCTACTTGTCATTGAAACGATTTGAAAAGTATAGGTGGATATCTGTGGTTCAAGTGGTTCAAAGAAAATCTGAGATCTGGAGCCAGCTTTGAGATTAAACCAACTCATTTCCGTTTACTTAGCACTGAACAAACAAAAACAGGCCCTTATTATCACTTAACGTCCTGGTCATCATTGTATATCTGAAAGGGTAGTGTTGTGCAGGGTAACCAAAGGAAGCGAATGTTTCTAGACAATAATTAAAAGTCATTCCTTTGTGATTGAATACACCTCACTTTTACTAACCGAGAAGAAAAGATTTGTTTGAACCCATTCAGCCGCGAGACGACACAGTTTTGGCGGAAATGTGTTTCAACTGGAATTCCTGTGACGACCACACTCTTCACAAAGTGATCCTGTATTGTATAAATCACTGCCTTACTTTTACAGTAACTTACTGACTTTACACTATTAGAAGAGTAAACGGGTTTGTGGTGATAACTTGTGGGAAGCCCACTGCTAATAATGCCGTTCATTACGACCACCGCTCAACCAACCCAAGCTTTGGTTTACACCATCGCCAAGCCCTTGAACCCCTCCATCTCTCCGCAGTCGTTAAATGGTACCAACTCAGTCACTGCTATGTACTTAGGAATACGCTCGCATGACTATATCGGGATGCCAAAAACAATTGAATTGACCAGCATTCAACGAGATTCATAACTAACAAAAAAATTCTCGAGCAGCTGCCGAATCCACACGGAAGAATCCGAAGCTTTTCGCAGATGAAGTCTACGAGGCGGCCAGTTGAGTGAAGGAAGTGCTGGGAGCTGCGCAAAGCGTGATATTAAGTCGTGTAAAACATATCCGACCAATGGAGTGCATCCAAACAAGATGCTTCAGTGCGATTTAACTTTCTGTTTAGTAATATTTGTGCTGCCTTATTCTCGTAGTTTCAATCACTCGTATGTTAATCTTAATCCAACCATTCATTCATCTTTTCGTTCACCTGTTAAGTAGCACTTTTAACTTTCTAGGACATCGAGTGACTCGTGCGGGCAGCAATAAGCTCTCTATTCGTTCTTCCGTGCCCAATGGGCTGTGCTCCCTCGAGAGGCACAAACAACGTCGCACTTGTCATTAAGAGGTCTCTTGTTTTTGAAGAGCGGTTTACCACGCTCTAGGGTGAACGCAAGATATGCTAATGGGTATCATAGCTGCTTTCTCGATGCATGAATGTTGAATTTTCGCTATTAGATTGCCGGCTTTCGTCACACGAAGCAGAAGGTGCCTATCGCTAAATTCATCTCAGTGTTTTCTTCGTATTTTTGTTGAGCAAACGCGAGGTGTTATTATTCCCTGTTCACGACTAAGCTGACGTTTCGGCGGATTTCGCCTTCCTCAGAGCCGCTTCCTATAAGGTTTCCACTATGTTGTTTCCACTAAGTATCATCTCAGTGTTATTCATTCGTTGATACTATTTAGTTGAACAATTATTTTACACCAACCTATTTTCAACGATCCTTCTTACTAGTTTATTTTATTGGAGATGGGTGAGTGGCGTTCCTGTTGAGTTTGCGCCAAAGGAACTCAGTACCCACCTGGAAAGTCAAAGCTGGGCAGGAGTTCAGCATTTCAATCTGGAAGCGCAGTGAACTGATCCAATCCAGAGAGCCGTCGCCGTTCTGGAAATAACATAGTCGGAAGGTGGCAAGTCTCCGATTCATCATGTCTGGCGACTGTTTGTGGTGCTGATCTGGTAACACACTGGCACAAGTTTCTCGAAATACTGCAAAAAACCTGCCCAACCAGCCTATGGAAAACTTCTTTAAATACAAATAAATTTCTTTGATGGTGAAAAGCGAAAGGCAAGCGTTTATTGCCTAGCTTAGTTTTGCACAGATCAATCCAATTGAAATGTCATGTCTTCATACTGAGATCTTATAACGTATGCTCAAGTAGAAATACATTGCCTGGCAATCACATTCTTATCTGTAAGACTTTGACACGGCTTCTTGTGAATCGACCCGCCGCTCATAAAGCATCTGCTCGTGCTTATTCCACAGTTGCTTTAATTGTCCACTTTTCTTCAGCAACGCTTTCCGGAACGCTTGGAACTCCTACAGAATGGTCTTCTGGGTGCTTACGCTTCTCGTCTTCTGCGTTCTACTTTTCTCTCTCTACAATCTGTCGCAATGGTTTCACTATATCAACCGGATTTCGTTCCTCTACATCTGCATTTTCCTACATGCCATCGAGTGTTGCATCACACTAATTCCTTCTCGGCTTTCCGGTAATATATGTATATGTATTTGTTTTCGACTATATACCCGAGTCTGTTGCGGAGATAACGTGAATATTTACTTGTACTCCATCCATGAGATCGGAAATTGAGGAATTAGACACGAAGCTCTATATCCACATCGCTTTTACAAAGTGAATTTATTTACTCGACAAAGTCTTTAAATCAGGTTTGTCACTGTAAGAGCTTCGCTGGAAATAGCCAAATGGCAACTTGGAATGTGAGATAACTCTTGCAATAAACTGACGACTGCAATACATCAAAATTACAAAAATACACATCATTTCATTTACTGTGTAGATGTTTTTCCATGATCGCTAACTCGTCGAAAGTAGCGTTCCGCAAGTGTTAATGATTCTGGGGAAAAAGTGCTTTCGAAAACTGAAACAACGCACGTTTCACGCTCTATCGGTCACGTCGTAACGTTCCAGCACTACATGAGGGCAACACGCATGTGTGGACTACAACCTGCACTGCTTTCCAGACGTTGAACAGGAAACATGGCAACTAATGGTGAACCACTTTTGGTCAACAGGGTTCTAGTTGGTCCATAGCTGGTGCGCATTGAATACAATGCGTAAACAAACATCTAGGCTAACGGCGAACTTTATTAGTTCTCATAGAAGCCGATGAAGAGCACATTTTTTCGCCAAGGAGCTCCTTACGTAGTTGTTTTACCAATATGACTTTAAAGCTAAGGGAACGCTTTCCTTCGTTTTTTTTTTCTATCAAGGCTCTCATATTGAATACCGACGCGATTGAACAGTTGAGATTTCGTAGAACAGGACAGGATGGTGTCCCCTTTTTACTTTACTTTATATTTTTACACTTTCAAACCAGCTTTGACGACAGGCGTCTGAATTTAGGGTGCAGACCTAGTATTCCACACGTTCAAATATTGGACATTATGGACCGGTGTGAACGTGGAGGTGCGCGGCTTTGACGAGCATTTAGCACGGCTCGAGGGACCAGCGATAATCGTGTGCAACCATTAGGTTTGGCTCTAGATAATTTGCTATTGAGAGACTCTGCCTCTATAGATGTAGTGTTCATTTTTGTGGTCTGTTCCATGAAGCAGTCAGTCGTTACTAGAGGGAGGTAACTGAAGGGTTAGAGTGTCCTTATGAGTGCTTCTGAAAGCTTCACAAGAGATACATAACTTCTTTCAATGGATGCTCAGGAAAGCTTTTGCTTAGAGTGTTATGGACGTGGTTGCGATGACACGAGTCTGGCCATCTCGTGGAACGGTAATGATGAAGAAATCTTTCAAATATGTTCTATTTTTTAACCTCTCTAGTATACTAGTAAGTTTCTCTTACCTATTTTCTCTCACTTTTTCCTGGTAAATAACTGAATCTTCCTTATCGTTTGTAAAATATTTAGTAGTTTGAAGGCGAATGCTGTCTTTGTCGATCGTTTCAACCATAGCAGAGCAATGAATGCATTGAATCGATGTGTAGAACAACTTGTAAAGTGCAATTTAAAGGTGGGATATTCGCTGTTATTACTCTGAACCTTCAGAGGAGGTAAATATTTTGTAGCATCGGACTGCCTCCAAAATGGCAGCCAGTTTATAGAAGTATAAATATTCTGTGTTTTTGGAATAAGTTTGGTCCAGAGGGTTCAGTAACATTCAAGATATCATTAACAACTAAAATCAATAGTTTTCTACCGTTATTGAGAAGCAATTTGCCCATTTCATTGTATGTATGTGAAGTATGGTGTGAATGCTATTGTAAATCATCCAAAAATACATCATTCTAACCTTCCTCTATGGAACTGCGCAATATTTGATAAAGTCAAATGCATTTGTGGCTAGCAGGCTTGTCTGGGAATACTTCTTCTGATCCAGAAAGTGTGATGATTCTCTTGGAAGACCTGGGAACCCTCTACCAGTCTACCAGTTCCGAAATGCTAGTGAGAATCAACTCTATCAGCACTCAACATCCATGAAGAAGACAAAGAGAACACAAGCAAGAGGCTGTCGAAGTCACAAGCAAATCTGAAGACGTTCTAGGATGACGGATGCAAGGCGGCAAATCGGATGAATAAGTGCAGGGATTTTCACAGTTTACGAAGACGGGTTATTTATACAAAAAAATAGAATCAAAATATTCAAAGCTGAAGTTGTATTTGTCTACAGACGTAGTTGAAGCTTGGAAAACGTTTGTAAAGGGCAGAAGGAAGTCGAGTGTAATAAAGTGATTTTTACACTTTTTAGATTTTCTGAAATAATTTTGGTAATTTATTTTTCAAACATTTTTATTTTTGAATTTTTTATATTATATTTTTAGATTTGGGAGTCAAAATATTTTTAAAATAATTTCAAGTGGTACTTTTATTCTACTTTTTCTCTTACTCCCTTTCTTTTATCCTGGCATCGGGTAATTGCTCCTGCTTTTTAGATATTTCATCCCAGAGAAACAATAGAGCGATGAAAAGGCCACTTAGCACAGAAATATGCAGGGAGAAAAGCGGTCAATAAAAAGATAACGAGAAGACAATTCCAACTTCTATAGAATAAATATACATTAAACCCTTACATTACTTTTATTGATTAAGCTTTGGATTTTTCCGGAAGGCACACGTAATCGTGGAAATGGTATGCTTCCCTTCAAGAAGGGAGCGTTCAACATTGCAGTGAAGGTAGGCGTACAAATCTCTTAAAGTTTCTTGTTTTACCGATTAATCGTCGAGATGTCTGCCGTTTTAGGGTGGTTTTCCGGCCATCCCGATTGTTTTTTTCCAATTATCGACCATTTTCCTCAAAATCGGACAGATATTTCAAGTCAGATGGCGAAGTCATAGCGCAAGTGCTCAGACTTGTAAACACAAAGGAGGTGAGCATTTAAGTTATAGTGTTAATAATCTCGTTTGAAGACTATTTGCGGCACTCACAGACCTCTTTCGTATGGAGATCCTCGGGCCGGTTAAGCTATGAGGTTACGTTACACTTTCTAAGAGCTGGATATCAAGTTAAGTGCAAAAGACAAGCGACTGTGCACTTACCCTGAGACGTAGATGGATTTAGGCAGATTACACTGTCTCTGGTCTCTGGTGTGTCGGATAAATCTATACCTTTCATGAGCATGCAGTCATTTTCGTTCCTATATCCGTGAGAATTCCTACGTATTCTCACGTATTTCCGATTTGTATTCTCTTTCTCCTTATGCGGGCGGGGGCGTGCAGCTCAGTTTCAAGGGTCGCCCTGCAATACACATGCCATTGTAGTTGTTGGTTCGATCCCGCGCCGTGGGCTCACCAAGCCTGCCATTCCTCCGGAGTGGATGCTGCCAAACTTGTCTAAGACGATAGTAGCACTGGCATGATACATTGGTAGGTTATCGCATCTCATTGTTTAGGTCAGATATGCATTCAATCGCCTCTTACGATATTTGATGAAGTCACATTCAGTGCCGTGTTGCAAATTAAGTAAGAATAAAATGTCTTGTAAAAAAGAGGTTTCGCTTTACCCTCTGGCTAGCAAACCTCTTTCCGCAGTTGCTTCATTTGGCTGAGAGAACCACGAATGGCAACTCGGGTTAAGCTCGAGGCATAATGGAGAAAATGGGATGACGGCTGATACAATTAACAAGTATTCTGACACAGGCTCGGAAAGGCTTGTACTGTAAAAGAAATTTTGCTGACTTTGCTATTCCAAAGGGCGACGAATTGCCACTGGTTCTAGAACTTTATGTCATGCAGCCCACTTGAAATATTAGTCGCTACTGGTTAACCACCTTTAGTTCCACACATGTTTTCATCACTTTGTAATTGAATACAAAAAATGTCTGTAAAAGACGATTAATTTTTGAGTGACGTAGATGCCACTGTATTGTGATACATCGGAATCCACGATGTATAAGAGGCGACGCAGCTTATCGTTTATAACTCAAGAAATTTTTCGGATGTGAATCATGAATACATGAATGATCATGTCGATCGTCAGCCGATTCGCATGTCTGGTGATTTAGAGGGGGTAGGGGAGGGGGGCGGCGTGCACGAGAAGGTCCAAAGTTGAGACCACATCCCACATCTGCAGGATAACCTAATGAGTCAAATTTGCAGCTATCCGAAACAGACGTACCAGCGCTTACCGAAAAGGTGCGAACTTCGATGCTTGACGTGTACCACGGGATCAGTCTGGACGTGGAGGAGAAAATAAAGATGAAGCGCAAGAAACGATGTGATTGATGGCCTTACTCTCAAAATAGTTTGTACACGGCTATACTCAAACACGGCTTCTTGTAGTGTATGTGTCATATGAAAGAAAAACGATTTTAAAAAATAAGAAATTGTTTGCTGCATGTAAAATTAACTCTAAATAGGATGAGATCTTTCGTGGTTTGAATTAAGTCAAAGCACCCAAATTGTACAGTTAGCTCTAGAAAGCAGACTGTGGACGCAATTTAATATCAGCCGATCCTCACTAGAAGGAAAATGTCTTCATCCAACAAACGCACAACGATTATTAACTGTTGTCGAAACATTTCATTTTCAGCACTTCAGAAAAAAATCCTTCCGTTACCTCTTCACTCATACTTGGAATTGTGGAAATAGAAATGAATATGCTTACACAGTACTATCGCACTTTTACAAATTGCTTTTGCTCATTCTCATCGCTGTGAACACACACAACTATCATTTTGCTGTTTAAGGAATAGAATTTTCCCACCATAAGCGCCTCAACTATTTTGACACGGTTATGGTCTGAAACGGTTTAGTATAAAATTGCTACCTTTTTTCTGACTACGGTATCATGACACGGCTGAATAAGAACTGCAACGGTAATTTTACACATTCTTGAAATCCATCCATTACACACTCCAAGCTGCAAAACACACATCCTAATTGTTTAAATGTTTTTAATCCGTTTGTGTTTTATTGCTTCATTCGGTTGTTGTAGCAAATCCTTCCACTTACAGGATTTAGCCATAGTGTCAAACAGCTTGTATAACTCTATGATTCATTGCCCAATGTTTTTTTTATAGCGAAGTATTATGTGAAATACAAACACAATGATGCTGAGAGTTTTGCAAAGCTCAGACCCCACACCAGATCCGAACCCGCAATGGTGAATTCTGGAAGTTCACGTATTACCCATTGCACCGCTGAGGTCGTTGTTGTTTTGCATCTTTCTTAGCCAGTTTTTGCTCTTACCACTTCAGACCCGTTGTTTTTTTTATGGTTGCGTTGTTATTCCTACTGTAAACTGTTCAAATTTTGGCTTAATATTCCTCCCATTCTAATAGATATGGCGTTTGATCACGTGATTGTAATCCATCTTCATTTTGATGAAGCGAATAGCGCACTGGTAGCAATGCCGTCCACTACAATCATGTTGCTGATGTGAATTCTCATCTGCTCTCTCACGATTCCTGAGAGAAAGTACTCGACTCGACGCCATTGATAAAGAACACTAAAAAGTCCCCAAGCAACAGTCAGATCCACACGGAAATCCAGAGTCCTTCGTGGAATACAAATGCGTGGAAATCCATCGGATGCAAGAGGTGCTGGGATACATGCCTTGTGTGATGCGGGCTCGTATAAAGAAGAAATCTCTACCTTTGTATAAATTCTCGTTCTTGTCATGAGAATAGTTTGACGAATGATAAACAATAAATGCACAAAATTCAAGTATTCAGCACTTCGCATAGACAATGTGGAAGACTCCATTCCTTCTCGCTCCGAAATTTTCAGGAAGCTGACATTTGTTTGCAGTTTAAGTTCACTAGAAACAGATTATAGGACTTTAGATGGCCACGTTCTTGACTATGCAATGAAGCGTTATAACTGCTTTCTGAACATTTTCCTTTTTTCTCCGTGCATGATATGACACTTCAGAGATTCGCAGTGTACTGGACTGTGACATATTTTCAACTAAATGTCGTCTGCTTTACTCCTTCCAAAGTCTCGAAGGTTTTTACCGTCTACGCCAACGTCTTAAAGATAACGTCTTAAGTACGAAATTTCGAGAACAGCATTTTGCCATACGATCGCTAACGATTTTCTGACCGATGACGTTCATACAACAAATTACTTGCAGGACTCTAAATCCAAGTTTAAATGCGTCTATGAATTGCTCTAATTTGTTCTATTCTCTTTATACAAGTAGTTTGGGTCAGAAAGTATTTTAAAAAAGTTAGGAAACAAACGTTCCAGTAAGACTTCTACAACCATTCGATGCAAGTCGTCAGTGAGGAAACACTCGAGTGAACTGGGTGCACAATAACCGCTGAGTTCTGTTCCTTCTACACACCAAATAATGGCAAATGGATGTTGCAATAAGTTGACTGAAAAAAAAACCGCCATAAAATTCACTTCACCTTTCCTTTTGCAACAAAACGATCACTGGTCTAATTTCGAAAATGAAGAAAAAACCGACTCTTGAGTGACCAGTGAAGGAACTAAATGACAGGGTCAAATTTTGTTGCGCGATATCACTAGTTTGCATCGTCATCACTTGAAGAGAACTGCAATGCAAGTCCGTAATTCGCCCAGCTCACTCGTCTGCCATAACTTCAAAGATTGGCGCCTTCTTAAACACCTCGATGACAACGCCGTCACTAAATCCATCTTTTGTATAAGCCTAAGGTTTAGCGCTGATGAAGAAAACCAACGGCCTCGGGCAGTGGACTTTTTGACAATTTCGCCTGAAGACCTCAAACACACCCTAACTGAGTGAGCAGTCCAGAGATAGCTCGAAAAGTTTGAAGCTGGATGGCTGAAAACAAGACGAAATAAAGGATCGTGAACGCCTGACAGAATGGTGAACTTGATGCATTTGCATCAACGTTGTCTTCGACTAGTGGAGAGAATTTTACACGAAGGCACTTCACTTCTGTGTAGAGGTGTGCGGTACAGGACTTGTGACACGGTAGGTCTCAAGAAAACTTTGTCAGCAAGTGTAGCTTAGAAACCCATATAAAAGTCCGCGTTTGAGGAATTGAGAGGTTACATATCATAAAAAGCGAAGCGTATGTTGTGCATTTCCATCTCAGGAAGGGAATTTCCGCTCGCTAAGGAATCCATTCATTGAACAGTTGTATAATTAAAACACCTAAAAACTGACTTCCATGAAGCTTTCGGCTTTTAATTTCCACACGACTTGCCGGTGAATGAGAGAACTGGTGTAGAACGCATTACCAGACAAAAACCAGATATTGGATCCCAGGAATCATTTAAAATCCGTATTATATAAAAGGACTCCATCCATCAAAGTTCTCTATTCGAGAGGTGCTCACACCTCTGAATTTGACTCGATGAGACAACAACAAGCAGTCTGGAGACAACGACCGGCCCATCGATTCGGGTCAATGCGGCTCCAAATCGCAAATCGAAGGCTCGGTGTAACCCTCGCTAATTTTTGCTCAAGATTCTGCACGAGATCCGAAGGTGTCACGAAAGCTCAATATGCCACTATGAGTCATTTCTATTGATTTAAAAAAGTGTTTGAATTGAATGAGATGGACGAGTCCATGTCAAACTTTTAATACACAGAGCTCTACTCATTCAGGATCCTATAAGAACTACCTACTCTTGAAATAACTAGTAACTTCACAACCACGACTCCATCATTCTATAATGATTCGACAGGAAACGCTCAACAATTGACAACATCATGCCACAATCATTGAAAACCATTTAAGAAATGACACGATATCACATCAATATGAAGTAGCTGGACCATCGTCGCTTCATTGATTACATCGCTCTTACATCTAGGGCGCATGTGGTGCAGTGGTCGGAGGCGCCCTGCAACACGCACGTGGAGTCGATCCCCGCGCTCATGGTCCACCAAGCCTTCCATCCCTCCGGAGTCGGCAAATTGGTACCATATCTGTCTGGGAGG